TGTTATAGCTTATAGCTTTGTGGAAGTCAGAAAACAGCTTATTCTTTAAGTGGGGCAGGAGATGCTTTAAGAATAAGCTGGAAATCAGCTTAAGCTGAAAGTTATGAGCTATAAGCTGTTTAGGCATAAGCTATAAGCACTTTCCCACAGCTCTACCAAACGGGGCTTAGGTGCGCCTTCAAGTAGATCCTCCATCTCGTAGAATTCTACTTCTCTAGTTACCTCACCTCTGCTAGGGAAATCCTCCTCTAGGAAATCCACATCTCGCGACTCAATTTCAGTCACACTTCCATCTGGATGCTCCCCAACAAACACATAGCCCTTAGAATGCTCACTATAGCGAATGAAGATACACTTCTTTCCTCTAGGGCCCAACTTCCCAAACTTATGAGAAGCGTTGTGTATGTAAGCTGCCGAACCCCAAGGCCGCAAATTGCCTAAATCAGGCTTTTTGCTAGTCCATCTCATATGGGGTGGAAGGAACTGATTTGGAGGGCACACGGTTAAGGACGTAGGCAACAGTCAACAAATCATCTCCCCAATAAGAAATTGGAAGATTAGCTTGCACCATCATTGATCTAACCATGTCAAGTAATGTGCGATTCCTTCTCTCCGCTACACTATTTTGTTGCGGAGTCCTAAGAATTGTCAATTGCCTGATAACTCCTTTTTCCTCACAGAGCACTTTAAATTGCTCAGATAGATACTCACGTCCTCGGTCAGTCCTTAGAGCTTTAATGCTCTTGTCTAATTGATTCTCAACCTCATTAACATACCGTCTAAAGCAATCCAATGCTTCTGACTTGTGAGAAATCAGATAGACATGACCAAAACGTGTGCAATCATCTATAAATGTGATGAAATAAGGGGCTCCATGCCTTGCCCTCACATTCATTGGTCCACATATATCAGAAAGAATAAGTTGCAATGGGATAGATGCCCTTATGGCTTTCCCAAATGGTTTTCTTGTTGCCTTTCCAGCAAGACAGTGCTCACAAGTAGGCAAAGTGACTCTAGTGAGTGGGCCTAAGAGACCTTCTCTAGCCAATCTAGTCATCCTGTCTTGCCCTATGTGGCCTAATCTAGCATGCCATCTCATAGAATCATTATCACAAAAAGATGCAATATTAGAAATAGAGCCATTGGCATTTTTATTAATACTAGAATCATCCACATCCAAAACTAAAAAACCATCTGAAAGATAACCAAAACCATAAAAAATTGTTCCCAAATAAATGCTAACACCATTATTCTCAAAACAAAAGCTAAAACCAAGGCTCATCATGCTAATAACTGAAACTAAGTTGCGTCAAATATCCGGAGCATAAAGAACATCATGAAGATACAAGGTGCGCCCTCGTCGCATTTCCAGCTTGAATGTGCCAATGCCAAGCACCTCCACACTGGACTCGTTCCCCATGTAAACTTTTCTGCTCTTAGCAGGTACTCGGCGATACTCAACGAACCCTACTCTGTCCCTCGCGATGTGGTCTGTTGCTCCGGAGTCTACAACCCAAAAATGAGGAGAATGAGCAATTAATGCTTGACTAGACACAAAGCATTGAATGCGAGAAATTAAGTAAGGAGGTACCTTCTTCTGCTCAGGGCAATCCCGAGCGAAGTGTCTTTCTTTGTTACAGTTAAAGCATGTCATCTTAGCCTTTGCCTTCTTACCACATCTCTTGCCCCTACGCTTGAAATTTCTAGCGCCATTGGGCTTAAGCGCAACCGCTGCTTGCTTTTTAGGGGCACCTTTTGCTTTTCCACGTTTGAACTGAGAAGTCCTACGTGAGCTTGACTCAACCACCATAGCAGAACAATCAGACTTAGCCGCCTCAAGGCGCTCAGCCTCTAGCTCCAAATGACGCGATATGTCTTCGAATGTTTTCACACTCTCATTATGCATCATGTTCTGCTTCATCTGCTCCCAAGAATTTGGCAGAGAGCGTATCACAGCCTGTACTTGCTGCTCTTGAGTCAAATTATGCCCAGCAGCCGCAAGCTCACGTATCATGGCTGACATGACTCTCAAATGCTGCTTCATCGAGTGATGCGCCCTTTTCTGATATGAGTCAAACTTCATAGTCAGCCCACGTAGCTTTGCCAAAGAGGTAATACCAAACTTTTGCTTGAGAGCTTCCCACATCTCAAATGCAGTCGGGCAATGCTCAAACTCACTAAACAAGTCGTTATGCATGCTGCTCAACATAGTAAAGCTCGCACACCGATCTTTGTTACGCCAAGTCTGAAAGGCTTCAAGATCACGACGATGTTGAGCTGTATTGCCCTGCTCTGGCTCAACCATCACTTGTTCAAGTGTGGTCAACACCTCTTGCTCATTGAGGAGGTATTGGATCTTACGGCGCCATATATCATAATTGTCGCCATCCAATTTCTCTCCCTTAGTTAAGTCTGCCACCACTGACTTAGCAGCCATTTCTACATACAGAGTAAACAAATGCGCAAGGGATATTAATGATAGCAACACAAAAAATTATTTTGCAGCAAAAGAATCTAAATAAAATAATGATAATTTTACACATGTGTCAAGATCGAAAATTTGTTATGCTCGTAATCATCTCTTGCGCCTCTAGTGATAATTATCAAAATTTAATTCCATACAATAGCATCTCAATATAAAATTACAAACAACTCATGCTATATTTATTTAATAATGGAATTCAAATAAATAAATAAAACTAATCATGCTTCTTTAATTGCAACATATTAAAAAAC